TTATTATTATTATTATTATTCTGTATGTTCTGTGATTGGACTTTTCAATAAAATAAAAATACAAATGAACATCATAGAAGGCTTCAAACAGAATGGTAAAATTTCTCCTACTGGTTCAGATGCTTGTTTGTAATTATGCACAAAGCTACACAATGGGCTATCTGTGCTCTTCCCACCATGGGTATCGAAACCCGGTTTCTAGCGTTGTAAGTCCGCAGCCATACCCCTGTGCCACTGGAGGACAGGTTCAGAGGCCTGTCTATTAAATCTATCCTTTCATAACAATAGTGAAGCCATCCTGATTGTACATTTCTACACGATATCGTCTAGGTAGCAGACAGGTTCGAACCAGGAATGAAAGAGACACAGTAAAGTTCATTCTTATAAAAATAATGTTTTATGTGTACGAAGGAAATACGAAGAGAACTGTTGAGTTGTTATTAAGTCGTATTAGAAAATTAATTTTTTCCAAGAGTTATTAAGAAAATTAGGTGTTATCTGAAATATCCTTCAGGTTCGCTATCAACTTAAAATAAACAAAATTGTGTAGCTTTGCGATAAACACGCGCAACCTCAAAATTTGATTCATTCATTTGTTGGTTTTTGGAACAATTATATCTCATCTTATTTGTTTAAGAACTCTTTTCTCTTTTAGTAAAATTTAATTCAACTGTTTAGTAGTGGTTATGAAACGAGATAATAAATATTTAACTTAAGATATTTTGTTTCTGCTTACAACTAATGGCGTTACTTAGAGCTAAACCAACTATAATCTTTAGCAACCTGTTGCTTTGATAAGAGTTAAACCAACAATAACATTTACTAAGCAGTTGCGTTGATTATAGCTAAACCAACAATAACATTTAGCAATAAGTTACGCTGATTAGAGCTAAACCAACAATAACATTTAGCAACCAGTTGCGTTGATAAGTGCTAAACCAACAATTTAATAGCTAATGATTTTGTCTACAAGTAAACTAACAATAGCATTTAGTAGCTAAAAACCTAACTTACGAATAATCCAAGAACAACAATTTGGCAAGGTGATATACAACTACATATTTATTGTTTGCTGTTTTCTATCGAATCAAAAACTGGAACTTGCAACTGTTATTAGCAAGAAGACGATATTATGTTCCTGTAACAGTAAAATTAACTTAATGTATGACGATCATGAGAGCATTCTTGAAGATTCTCGAAATCATTAATAATTTTGTGGATTTTAATGTACCACCTTCTAGCA